CAGCAAATTTGGTGAATTTAGGTACTTTGTATCCTCGAGGTAATTCCGTCTCAAGAATCGCATTTGGAAAGGGAGACACAAAGTATGTTTGATTGGGTGGTCTAAACTCCATCCCTTGGAAATTCATCCTCTGTCCTAACATGTGATTATACTGCATGTTATTCTGATTGTACATATTTTGAAATCCTTCATTCAGATTCCCACAAATATCATTTCTCATCTATTGGTATTCATTCCCCGTATACTGATGTTGATCATTATCTCGATTTCTCCTTAATAGATACGGGGGGTTGATATTAGCATTCTGGTTAGCATAATTTTCTATCCTTGTTCGTCGAGGTACAACCAATGCATCCCCGATTCGTGACATTTGGTCTGCTAATATCTCAAAACTAGCAGTAGTGTTTTGAACTAATGGATTTAGGACTGTAGTCAACTGTTGTGACAACATATTCACCATCTCAAAATTGCTCTCATCCATTTGTTGTCTAAGTATCCCTAATGAGTTACTGGATATCCCAGTACCAGTGTTTTCGATAGTCTCAAAATTGGATCGATGATAATCTCTATCGAATATATATCTCCCATGTTCCAAATTTCCTCTATGATCTAGATTTCCTCTATGATCTAGATTTGGAAGCGTTTGTTGTGTGCCTAAATTCTGTCCACTTCCTGAATTCTGGGGGATTGCTAAGTTTTGAGATGTCCCTAAATTCGGAGGGACTCCAAAATTTTGGGGCATGCCCAGTGTTTGAGGCATTCCTAAGTTATATCTCGAATTCCGCTGTGTTGAAGAAGTTCCAGCCCCGCTCGTATTATTAAGCGAAAACCCAGGCGGTCTTACACTCATATATGACCCTACATATGTTGTTGTGGGATTTCCTATAGTTTGCATATTATTTGGTACCACCGCATTAGATCCTACTTGGGTGTTTGTCAAGGTACCTGAATTTTGTTCGTTACCCACAGGTATCGACATACTCGTAGTTGTCGATGTTACAGGCATATTCCCATTATGACTTTGCCCCCCAGTATTTGGTGAATGTACACCATTCAGACCCTCACTGTTACTCTGGTTATTTGATGAATTTTGACTCATGCTTATAACTCGCCCACTCCTTAGTCTCATACACTCTCGAACTAACCAATTTTGTGTTTTTAACACAAGACTTCCCCTACCTGGCGCGCCAATTTGTTTCTGGTGGAATTTCGATCGATTTCGACTCTTAAGATATTTTGATCCTAATCAAAATTCTACCACGTAAGTTCTTTTTACTTAGGCTAGCAAATTAATTTTCAATCGAGATGCGTATGAGGATCGAATTTTGCCCAATTTCAAAGATACTATTTTTGGTGTTTTATATTTAAAGTGCTCGAAGTAAAGAAAGCAGAAAATTCGTGGAATCGAAAAGCAGTGCTGAACATTAGATTGCAAAGAAACGTAACATGCGAAAATCTTAAATTTGCTTTAAGTATAAAAGACAGGGAATCGAAACAGCAGAAATGTAAATAACAGGAAGTATAAATGACAGTAAATCAAATGTGCAGAGAGTATAAATAACTTGGAAATCGAAATTGCATTAATGTTAAATGACAAGAAAATTTAAATGCGGAAACTTAACTTTCATTGAATCGAAATGACCAAAAATCGAAAGTACAGAAACATAAAATTGCTAAAGATAAATTGCATCAAAGTAAATTACCAAGGAAAATACAGAAAACGGTAAAGGTACTCAATGAGCATGGAAATCCAGATTGCCAGAAGCTTCATGATGTTCATCGTTTCCCCGGTAGACTTCTCACTAATGATTCTGTTCTCTGCCAATTTTCTGCTCCCCTTTCCTTTCATCCTTTGCTCTATTTATAGTGTCTTTTCAAATAGTCTCTTAAGAGCAGTTAACGAAGACTGCTACCACGTTCTCTGTGCACGTCTTTTGTAGTTTTGTTCCTAGCTCTGCGGTTTAGAAACTGTATCCACGTTCCCATGAATGAGGTAACCGCTCCCTTGACCTTCGACTTTTGCTACCGCTTACTATGTTCGATGTATACGTCGACCGTTCTTCTTAGCAAAAATTTCGATATTCACGTATATTAGCCTTTCCTTCGATTTTCGATTCCAACTCTCGATATGTTTTTGTCTTTGTGTTTACCAGGTGTTTTAGCAATTGCATCGACTTGTTAATCCCTTGTATAGTTCTCGATTTTTTGTTTCCCTTCACTTTCTCGATCCTTTTATAGATTTCTCACTAACACATACCTAATTGGTCATTTAATAGATCAAAGTTTAGGCAACAATACCTTCAATGTGAAGTATCAAAGTAGGATCAATAATGATCAAAGTCTAAGAGATTATACATCATAATTTCAATGTATATAAAGATCTAGAACGATGAAATTGACTTCCCTTTCTGGTGCCAATTTTTTAGACTAGATTTATTTGGAAACCTTGTAACGAGTAATAAATTAGAAAGGAGTATCAATAAAAATTTAGAAAACACTTAAGTTGCGTTTGTTTCTGCAGACGGAAAGCCAGTAAAGAAGGAAATGCATGGAAAGTTGGAAAATCGGTGCAAAAATTTTAATATTAAAAAAAAAATTCATCTCTTCCTTTATGTTAAGAAAGCCACGAAAACACACGGAAATACTGCACAATAAATTATTTAAAATCAAATAATAAATTATATAATAATTTTCATTTAAAAAAATTATAATTATAATAAATAATTAAAAAATTATAAATAAAATTATAAAAAATAAATAAATTTATTTTAAATTTTTATTTATTTATTACTTATTTATTAATCTATTAAATCGATGACATCATTCATACCAATTTCGCGTACTTTTCTTTCATTTCTTATCATCTTTCTCTTCATCTAAACAACTCTATTTTTATCTTATTTTTTCTTAAATCTACTCGTATTTATCTCCGCATCAACTTTAATGATATGCTCACCAACGCAAAAATAAAGGATATTAAGAGGTGAATAGGTTTCTTTATCTTATAATTGGATGGCTAAGAAGTTGAATAATAAACATACTCATAATTTTATCTTCTAGTTGAGATGGACATCACGGATGTAAATCCCACATTGAATATTACGCTAGGCTTAGTACATATTATTCATCAGTTATGTAAATTCTCTTATATTTTATTTAATTATCTAATGAAAGATATAATGTTTCTAATTATATACTCGTTGTAGAAACGTAAAGATGATCGACTCTTGATGAATTATTTATGACCACTCACACAAAGAAAAACAACAATTGAGTAGATGGTTGTGCTCGTATATATATATATACATAAAGTTATTGATATATTTTTAATTTAATATATATTTTTTAATTTTATTAACTATTTACAAATATTATAATTAATTAAAAATTATCATGAGTGTTTACGGACAATTAAATTAAAAAAAAATTGATGAGTCCACTAATGACTCAGCATAATTAAACGGAGTAATAAAAATTCAATGATATGAGATTAATAACTTATTGATTTCAAACATCTTCAATGTGACGTCTCACTAAAATATCGATATTTTAGATTGGGATGGTAATAAATTGAGGTTTTCTAATATAAATCTTTTCTATTTCTACCATTAATTACAAGAAAAATATTATTTCACAAATTAATTTTAAAGAAACCTCCTGACAACCCACTAGTTATTATTATAAGTGAGAAATCAATTAATTGTTTTTTAAAATTGATTTATGAAAGTATTATCACCCAAACTACCATACTCATAACTTAATGCTAATCATACACACATCACTAGTCACCTATATATCATTAAACATCTAATTAAATACTTAATGACAATCCTCCGTCACAAATTCCTTTTAAATTATCCTTTAGGCATACTTAATGTGTTTTCTAAAGATTACGATATTTGTTTAATGAAAGCGACGAAAATTTATGTAGACATTTTTTTTTTCGGAAGTGATGTAGACTTGACTAAAAATAATACTTGTCATTTTAGCAAGGAATGATTGTTCATATATATATATATATATATATATATATATATATATATATATATATATATATATATACGAATTAATAGCTGAGGAGGTAACCTAACTTTTCACTAGAGAAGTTAGAATCTTCCCCTTTTTACTTGACAATGTTATATATATAAGACAGAAAAGTAAAATAAAATAAGCTTTTCTTGTGTTTTAAAATCAATATTTAAAACAAGATTTAAAAATTTAACTAAATTTAATAAAATAATATTTTTATAATATAATAGATTTATTATTTAATAATAATATTTTAAAAAAATTACTATTATAATTAGTATAACTTAAATATAAGATGAATAATAATTAAGATATGATGAAAGTATAATAAAATAAATAATATTTAATATAATATTAAAAAATTAAAATATATTTTATTTTTTTATAAAAAATTATTTTAATTTTTTTATTAAAATTAAATAAAAAGTTTAATTGATTTTTTTATTTTATATTGATTTGATTAAAATCCGATTAATTAAAAGTAAACCGTTTATAAGGGAGTTGAATAAACTGATTTTTAAAACAGAGTTAATATATACTTATATGTTTCAATTTCTAGGAAAACTTTCTCGTTTATTTATATACAAAACTAACATTAATTTAAAGCAATAAATTTATATTTATGAAATAAAGTTAATTCATTACATTTTTTTCTATAAAATTATTATTTAAAAAATCATTTAGAACTAAAATTAATAAATAAATGGCCTTGAAATTTGATATAAAAAACTAAATCCCGAAGAAGACACAAAGGAAATAGATAAATCACTGTTAACATTTAAACTACGAAATTGTCATTTGGACTCCATGCAAAAGTAAAGATGAAGAAACAGCACACTTTAACAAGGTTCTAAGTCGCTTACTAGAAACAAAGATCAAATAACAGAAGCATGGAGTGAAAAACGCAACTCCATATTAACCTGCAAACACATTTCTTATTCCTTTTACCTTTTGGAGATTCACATCAAGGTTCAGGCTAACATCACAGCACAGTTGTGAATAAAGGGATGAAGGTTGGTGCTGCCACATACAACTTGCTTCCACTTCAACTTCTCAACATGTGGATCAGGGAAGCATGTGTATATATTCATCCTGGTACGTTGTGGACAGGAGGCAGAGGTAGCCCCAATAACAAGCAACTCATTGCCTAAGGATTTGAATGCCACACCCCAACCTTCCCGTACATGAGCTCTCACTGGAACTGGTCCTAACTTCTTCCATGAGTTGCTTCCCTTAAGATAAACCTTTAGCTCATTTGAGAAAGCATCAATGGTATACAACATATTGTTGGCAACAGCAATAAGAAGAGGGGATCTTGGAGTTGAAAGACGTATATCTTTCAACATTTCAGGCACCAAGGTCCAACTGTTAGTCTCTTGATCAAAGAATTCACCACAATAGAGGACTCTCTTCTGCTCATCTTGCCCTCCAAGTACATAAAATTTGTTGTCCAGGTAGCAACCAGAGCAAAACTTCCTCTTCTGTATCATCCTTGGAAGGGGCTCCCATGTGTGGCTTTCCAAGTTGTACTTCTCAGCTGAATTCAAAACTTCCCAAGTTGTTGTCTCAATTCCTCCTGCAACAAAAGCCGTGGTACCACAAGACGCTGATGCAAAACGACACCTTGGACTGAGCATGAAAGGACCCCTGAACCATTCATTTGTTGCTAAGTCGTATCTCCAAACAACACCACCATCAACCTCCTTGCCTGAAACAAAGAGATTTGTCCCTGCTGAAAATGACTCCTTACCACACCACTCAAAACTGTAATCTGATGGAATGATAGGGAGCTTCCTGCACGACCTGAAATGACCATCAAATGCACACCAATTTTTCTCTCCACTTGCTAATATAAACACAGATGGTTCTTTGAACCCTATCACCCTCCTGATTTTGTAGATTTCACCACTCTTCAATAGGGTAAGAAACCGCTTGCTTAGACAAGATATCTTCCAATGTTTCGATACTGGAAATCTTGCCAATATCATGGTCTCTAGCTCATCACTGAGACATAGCATATCATAATCTGCATCCTGAGACTCTTGACCTGGGGAGGAACTGTTTCCATTCGACGGTGGCTGTTCTAGAATTCTCATTTTTTCAGGTGAGGAATTGTGAGAAAACCTACAAGTGCCACCACCAAAGTTCCAGATTGGTAATAATACCTTTCTACTAGGCATTCTAACTCGTTTTGAAGGAAAATGCTCTTTTTCTGCTTTCTTCTTTTTCTGTGAATGTTGATCAGCCAAGCCTTTGCACCTTGTAGCTGTAGAAAGAAAATCCAGGTAAAGTGTCAGCAGGAACAGTTGAGATCAATAAAAGCTATATATATATATATATATAATGAGTTAAAAAAAGCCAACTACTGTTCTTATGGTGGCACCCACATGGAAGTAACACTTAGAAATTTTACGCAAACTAAAAAGAAAAAGTCAAGTTATTTTCATGGATTGAATTACGTTGTATCACACATTCAGATATTGGAGAAGGATAGTTTTGTTGTCTTGACCAAAGATTGTGTAACAAATGGTTAAATCCAGGTGAGGACTTTCGTTAAGAAACCCATTTCCATTAATTCGAGGGTTAAGGAAAATTCAAGAAATGAAAAAAGATAATCACCATTTCAGAACTAATTAACATCCTTCACATCGTGTTATCTGACAAAAATATGCTCACCTTGAAGACAGATTAACGTCCTTCACATCATAGCCGGGTGATTATCATCCTTCGGAGGTTAACACAGACATGAACAAACAGAAAGAGACCCATGTTGGTTTTCTCAGTTCAAAGTTTTCTCATATGTTTATTCTGTTATGCAGAAGCAGACAGAAATTACGGGGGAAAGTGACAAAGCACAAAAAAAAAAAAGGCATACGTCTAAGTACAAAGAAGAGAATACGAGAGGGGGGAGAGAAGTGTAACGTACAAAGGAAAAACCAAGTCAAACGAAGCAGTAGTGGAATGAGGGAAGCGTTACAGAATCATCGGTTGAAAACAATGAGAAAATCTGAAGAAGCTAGAGTAGTTATGTGCCTCAGCGACTAATATTAACGCATGAAAAGTGAAGTTGAAGAAGAATTGTGTAATAAGTGACTAAAAGAGTGAGGAAAGGGAACCATTGCAGAAGAGAGAGAATCTACATCTCGTATATGTTTGAGTTTGAGTTTGAGTTGGTAAATGAAATGCGTTGTGGAGATTGAAATATATACCCTTAAAAGAATACATATTTTAAGGAAAAAAAAAAAATACTCAAGACACTCTTTGCTTTAAAGTGAAAAGTTATCGTGGATTCGTGGAGCCACAACATATATAATCCACAACATATATAATAAGATTAACATTGATCATTTCCCAATTTGTTTGGTTACTTTCGAAAACAAAAATCACTATGCAATGATATTAAGAATGACAAAAACATTAACCCATCCTACCTATAAAGTAAAATTTAAGGAAATGTTGATGCATAATGCCGCTATTTAAAAAGACAAAAAAGCAAAAAACAGTAAAAACACCTCAAACGTTCACGCAATTGCAAGTTTCACAGTGCACGTTTGTATATTTCACATTTGGCTACACGTTGGAGGAGAATTTGCCACCCGTATGTGAATATTCCTTGTAGATTTTTCATTCTCCGTTGGTCATTATGTTTAAATTCTTGTAATTCATGCTTTTTTTCATGATTATAATTTCATATTTTTCTCTTTTTTTTGTAAATTGACTTGACACATTTATTCTTAAATTTCATATACAATATGACTATCTAAGTATAGGGAAAAGGGTATTGTATTCTCTACAATTATATACTGTGTTCATACCCTTGATCTCTACGTGCATTTAAAATGTAATATTTGCATCTCATTTGTATTAATAAGTAAAACTTAAAATCATTTAAAATCCTGAAGATTGAGAATAACTATATATGGAATGAGATTTTAGCACTCTGTGCTTAAATCAAGTAAAGTTTAAAATTTTTATCTTTTAGTTAGAAAAGGTTAAATGAAGACTATTACATTTCAAATCTTGTTTTCGTAAAATTATTATCTCTAAATTTCATATTCTCTTCCTTCTCTCTTTGACATACTCAAATTATGCAATACTTTCAAATTCTAATTTATTAGAATTTTTATCAAAATAAGTTTCTGTTTGCCCTTTTGAGATTGCTTGTTAGGGTTTTGGGTGCATGTAGCTATGAAATTGCTTGCATGTGGAAAGTTATGGACATTTTACCATTGTAGTGTTGTACTTGATAGGTCTTCCATAAACAAGTTTGGAGGTCTTGTGATATTGGAGGAGTTTTGGGAAATTTCTCTCGTGAAGGAATTTAGGATAAGGAAAACTAGTTTCAGAGGATAGATGATTTGCATTGTGAATTTGGTTTGTTCACATTATTTGTAATTGCATTGAATTGGATTTCATAGTTTGATTATGATGATTCAGTGGTAGTTAGAAATAATTATGAATGGTAAAATGTATAGAATGTTAAGATAAAAAGAACTATATTCATGTAACTTTGTCATATTTTGGAAAGAAAATACATAATATGATTACTTAAAAATGTATCATGTGTCTTTGATTTACTTGCTATTACTTAGAAATGTATTAGGTGTCTTTGTATTGTACCTTTTGCAAATTCTATTTTTCTACATAATTCGTTTAAACAACACTTTATCGCTTAAAAGAAAATGTAATAGAGAGTAAGGACTCCTCTTTAAAATCTTTTAGCTCAAGTGAGACTTTGATCACTTGAGTGATGAGACTCCTAGGGTAGAGAGGATTTGTCTCAGGTCCATCTTTGCTTAAGCGAAGAGGTTTCCATAATAGGAGGGAAGTTTAGGGTTTATTTTTGCTAAGGTAAAATTGTTCTAGAGAAATGAGGTAGGATTTATGAAATATTTTGCTCAAGCAAGGTATTGGTCTCTAAAGAAAAAAGAGATTTTAATCAAATGAAAGTATTTTGCCCAAATAAAAATGCTCTAAGGAAGAAAGAAAATCTAGAAGGAAATCTCACTCAAACGAAAATAGTTTGCTCAATCGAGAAACCTTGGTGAAAAGCATAAAATTTTGGAGAAAAGTGTTGTTTCTATTAATGAGTTTAATTCCTTTAATTTTTATTGAATGAAGGATACATGTATAATTGAATGAGATAAAGAATGGTATGTATGAAGAACATGAGACCTGATTTATGTTGAATAAATGTATGTTTATACATGTGAGGTGTTTTACAATTAAACATAATAGTTTTCAAGGAGAAAATATATGTGGTGTATTAAATTTGAGATTCTAAAGTAGATATTTTTATTGGAACTAACGTGAATGAGAGATAAGAGAAATATATGTTGTATGGTTACCATTTTATTGTATCATCAGTGTAGTTTATATACATGAGAATACATGGACAAGGTTACATAAACTAATTAACTAACTTGACTTATTCAATATAATACAAACATTAATACTTTCCCTTAAGTCAAGTACTTGAGAGATACAACTCCAACTCTCTTCCTCAAATCTTCAAACCTCTCATTCTTCAAGGTTTTTTGTGAAAACAACAACCAACTGTTCTCAGTTTTACAGTAAACCACTATAATTCTTCCTTTATTCACCACCAAATATCTAAGGAAGTGATACTTCACTTTTATACGTTTGTTCCTACCATGACTCACTAGATTTCTTAATAAATTTATGGCAGAAACATTATCTATCTTCAATTGCATTGGTATCTTCACAGGGATCTTTAGCTCTTTCAGCAATTCCTCAAGTCAAACTCCCTAACATGTTGCATAACTCTCAACTACATACTCTACATCACAACTGGATAGAGCTACTGCTGGTTGTTTCTTGGAGCACCAAGAAACATGAGCATTATTTAGTAGGAACACATATCTAGATGTGCTCTTTCTCTCCACTAGATCACCACAATAATCAGAGTCAGCAAATCCAGTTAACTCTAACTCTGATTTCTACCTCCCAATAGGAAACAACACTCCATAATCTGTTGTGCCTTGAATGTATCTCAATAATCTCTTAGCAGCTAGCATATGAGACTTCTTCGGATTACCCATGAATCTGCTCACCAGTCCTACACTGAATGATAAATCTGGCCTGCTGTTACAAAGATACTGTAGAGAGCCAATGATTTGCTTGAAGATTGTCTCGTCTACAACTCTCCAGATTCATCCTTTGTTAATTTCAAATTGAACTCAATAGGACTCATCCATGAAACCATGTTAAATCTCCTCAATAATTTTCCAACATATTTCTTCTAATGCATTACTAGCCCTGCAGCAATATAAGTGAACTTTATGCCTAGAAAATAACTCAGTTTTCCTATATCTGTCATCTCAAACGCAGTTTCCATTGTCTTCTTGAAGTCTGCAATGTCTCTTAGGTTTGATCCAGTCACAAGTAGATCATCAACATAAAGACAAATTATCAGCAGGTCTTCTCCCATGCCTTTCTTCACATACACACCATGTTCAACAATACACTTTGTAAACTCGATATTGAGTAAGCAGGAATCAATCTTATTCCAAGCTCTTGGAGCTTGCCTCAACCCATATAGAGCTTTTCTCAGTCTATAAATTTGATGTTTTTTCCCTTTCACAGCAAATCCAGGTGGTTGCTATACATACACCTCCTCCTTGAAAGGTCCATGTAGAAAAGTTGATTTTATATAAAGCTAAAATAGTGGTCAATCCCTTGCACAAGCCATAGTTATAAACAATCAAATGGTTTCTATCCGAGCCACTGGTGCAAAGACTTCAGAAAAATCTAGTCATTGTCACTGAAGAAAGCCTTTTGCCACAAATCTTGTTTTGTGATTAGAGATTGAACCATCAAGATTCAGTTTCTGTTTAAAAACTCACTTCGCTCCAATGTAATGTTTCCCAGTTGGTAGATAAACTAGTTTCTAGGTTTCATTCTTCTCAATGAATTCAAGTTCCTCATGCATTGCATTTCTCCAAATTGACTGCTTTAAGACATCATTCTCATCAATAGGTTCTGCTCCTGTCATTAGTGTCATGTGAACCAAATCTCCCTCATCATTAATTTGTCCATCAAAGTGCATCTCAAAATCAGAGAATCTACGTGACAT